CGTCGCGCTCTGCGCCGCCAGCGCCTCTTGCGCTGCTCGAGTTGCCTCTGCCAACTCGTGCTCCATTTCCGCCAGCTCGTCCTTCAGGTTCATCACGTTGCGTATCGCGCTCGTCTCGCCGCGACAGTGAGCTTCAGCAGCGGCAATATGCCGCTCGCATTCAGCCATGAGCCGCTCCTTGTCATCTTCAAGTGCTCTGACGCGTGCCTCGGACGCGGACAACTTCTTTCGCAGGCCGTCGTTTCCTGGGACGTCAATGTAAAGACGCCGAATGCTCGGTACGATGTATTGGTGGAATTTTTTTGGGAGACAAGTCAACTGTGTGGCATGGTTCAATGAACGAGAGAGAAATCGTGCGATGCGACTACAAACCTCCGGTCGTACTGCACGATGATGAGTACGACGTGATAAGAAAGCAGCTCGACGACTTACCCACGTTGAATTTTTCTCGACATGCCGGACAGGTTGAAGTGAAACCGTCTGGGCTCGTTGCTGAGATATGTGCTGTGAGGCAATCTGTGCAGTAGACATGACCTTGAAACACGATAAAATCAGTGGCCAAGCCTACAGAAAAACGCTGCATGTAGCGCACCGCAGGGAATCGAGACTGGTTCTTTCAGCCTGCTGGAGAGACATATACTGCAGCTCATGGTACTATTCCACTATAAGTAGCGGAGACGACGGTGGTGGTAGCGGACAAGACGCGAGCGTGACTGTCTTTCGCGAGATGTCACAAAGTGTGACTCTCCCCCGTTTGGACCTCTCTGGCGGCCATTGGGGTCCATTTTCTTTGCTTCGGCTTGGGTGTTCTTCCTCTTCTCCTCGCTTTTCTACGCCCATTTTTCTTGGTTTTCTCTTCAAAGTGAATGTCTTCTGGCAGCCGTTTATCATATCCAACTTCTCCGCCCCCAAACGAACGAAGCCTAAGCACACCCAGGTCCGCAGACCGTCCGTCGTCGCGCAGCTCAATCCGTTCAACTTCCACTCGCGCTCCGAGCCCCTCGTTCTCTTCAGACGACCCAGGTATGTTTTGGTGGGCATTCCGGAGTGAGCGGGAGCCTAACTTACACTGCCTTACAGTCGCGGTACGGAATCAGGTCAGTCGACGACGAACACTCTGTGAAAGATCCTCACACGACCCAGGTCTCCAGCCTCAAACATTCCATCAGGTGGGAGCTCTCAGATACCTATTTAACGAGGAAGTATTTATCTAATTCCTATCAGACAGCAGCAAGCGCAACTGCAAAAGGCCGAAAACATGTTACTTCGTGGACCCAGGCCATACCCGTCAGAGCTTTCGGACCCCATTCAGCCGCTGCCTGCTACTTCCCCCACCTCTCCCAGTAAGATTGCCCGCCGTTCAAGTTACGACGTCCTCTCTGGCATCGCTGGAGCTGATTCAAATTTGCCGCTTCCTCGCCGCGATACCAGTAGTGTACCCTTGGAGGATTTCAAGGAGGGTGTACCCATGAGTTTCTCCAATGGCGGCCCCTCGTCTCCTCCCTCGAGTTATCGGACTGGTAGCCCCACACGGACACTTAGCCGTGCGTGTCCTTGAAGTTGATACTGCACTTACATCTCACTCACGCGAAACATTCAGGCATTCCCGTAGCCTCTGTCGGTTCGTGTTCTCTTCCTCTATTCTGGCGGGACCCTCACAGCCGGTTGCAGGCAACGCCCGCGCACTTGCAGACGATGGCCAAACTCGTGTCAGCGTATCATCATCTTCATTACTTACGATAGACACGGATACCAAGTCCCCCTCGTCGCTGCAGCCTCCTTCGCCCAATCGCCGTCTCTCACTCACCCCGGGCAACACGACCAGAGTTCTTGCGGATCTGCAGACCGGCGTATCCAATGCGCGCCATGCCCTGGAAAACACCAAGGCACAGTTGCGGGTTTCCCAGCGCAGTGTCGCGCAGCTGACGCGGCAGACGGAGGATTTGAAAGAGGCTAGGGAGAGATTGAGATTGGAGAACGAGGGACTGAATAATGTTGTCGCCAGGAAGGAGCGGTTGTTGCAAGAGGTACGCGTATCTCCCGCCGGTCGACGAAAGATTCAGAGATAACTTTTTTCCGCGGCTTGTCAGGTCCTCGAACGAGCGCGCAAGGCGGAGGCGGAAGCCACTACGCTGAAGACACAACTCAAGTCTGAGACCACCACCTCGAAAAAGACCATGCGTGAGATGGAGACCGCTCTTGCAGAGTCGACTGCGTTGTCATCAAAGTCCGAACGCGAGTATATCACTCTGCGAGACAGCATGAAAGGTCTTGTTGAGGGGTTCAAGAGTGACACGGATCGGCTACGGGCGGAGATGACGAAGCGGGAAGAGAAGCTGAGGGGCGAGGCGGAGAGCGCTGGAAAGAAGTATAGGAAGCTGCTAGAAGAGATCAAGGGTTCTGGGGAGGGGCGGGCGGAGATTAAGGCTGCGCGGGAGGCTGACCAGGCGGCGGAGCGGGAGCTGGAGAAGGGGTGGCAGGAGGAGATTCGACAGCTCAAGGAGGAGGTGAACAGGAGCAACACGGAGAGCGAGGAGACTGCGGAAACTGCCAGGGGAGTTGAAATCTATGCTTTTGGACTACCGAATACCATGCTTACTCGTTTGTTTACAGGCAATTAGCGGCGGAGTTGGCGCGGTTGAGACGGTTGATGCAAAATGTGCGGCGAGCCTCGAACGACGTCGACGATGGTGCAACGCCAGCCGCGCCTTGAGGTGGAGGATACGTATACCCCGGATTCACGTAGTGTACGACCCCCTGCCAGGTGCCTAATCGCTTTCATTTGCATTCTCTACTCTGTTTTGCATTACCCTCTGCATTGTATTATTTTCACAGTGACATTGTATAGTCCCTTTCCCCGCCTGTCTCCTCCTGTTCCCCTTGGACCTTAGACCTTGAAATGCACGAAAAAAGTGAGACCCGGGTATTCGGGCCAGGGATTTTGCCGGTTTCATCCCGCCGAGCCAAGTCCGGTTTAGAATCACGCTGCGAATGCACTCAATATAAACCCGGAGCACATGGATCGTCTACGCTTACTCTTTTTTTCTCCCCACAACCATGTCGACGATATCGACCCCCGTAACTGAGCTCTTTGGGATCAAGCATCCCGTCCTGCTCGCAGGTAATATTCTCCTACTCCGCCTATGAACCGAGTAGTTGACACTGCGAAGGGATGAACATTGCCGCCGGTCCCGAGCTCGCTGCGGCCGTAAGCAACGCTGGCGGGTTGGGTGTCATTGGTGGGCTCGGGTATACCCCGAAGGTCCTTCGCCAGCAGGTACGTTTTGGTCTCGCCGTTCCGGGGATTTATGGGTGCCGACCGAGTGGGTCTTGATAGATTCGGTCGGTGAAGGAGGCGCTGGTGGACAAGTCACTGCCGTTCGGCGTCGACTTGCTGATCCCTCAGATTGGAGGGTCGGCGCGGAAAACCAACGTGAGTAACTCCGATATTGCCTTCAATTGTAGACTAATTGCGCAACAAAATAGTACGACTACACGAAGGGAAAGCTTATGGACCTTATTGAAGTCATCATCGAGGAGAAGACTTCTCTATTTGTCTGCGCTATCGGTATTCCTCCCAAGCACGCCGTCGACAGATTACACCAAGCCGGCATTCCCGTACGTCTCTCGTTTCCTAGCGGAGTCGTTATGCCCTTACACTGTCGCAATGGGATAGATTATGAATATGGTTGGACACCCGAAGCACGTCGCGAAGGCACTCGAAGCCGGTGTCGACCTCATCTGCGCACAGGCCGGCGAGGGCGGAGGACACACGGGCGATATCCCCGCTAGCATCCTCATCCCCGCATGTGTCGACGCGGTCAAGGGCCACAAGTCGCCACTTACGGGCAAGCCGGTATACGTTATCGGCGCCGGCGCTGTATATGATGGACGGGGTCTTGCGGCCAACCTCATGTGGGGCGCTGAGGCAGTCTGTGCGTTTGTCGTGTGACTTGGAAATCCCTCGATATTGGACTGACGGTGTCGTTTTGCGTGCGTAGGGGTTGGTACACGTTTCGTCGCTGCAACGGAGGCAAGTGCCCCGCAGAAGCACAAGGAGATGATTATGAGCGCTGGGTTTGAGGATGCCGTTACGACTCTTATCTTCACTGGGCGCCCGCTTCGTGTCCGGAGGACACCGTATGTCGATGACTGGTGCGTTTTGTCTATTCACTTTGCCTCTAACAGTCGCTGAATCGCGTCGCTGTTGTGCAGGAACAACAACCGCCAGGCTGAGATCAAGGAGCTCACGAGCAAGGGTCTCCTCCCGCACGAAGTTGAGCTCGAGAAGCACCCCGAAAAATCGCTCGAAGGTCGTCCCTGGCTCATGGGCCGTGTCTCTTCCGTGCGTCCACTTGTATGAATCCCCTGTTTGCGCTCACGTAACCTCATAGCTCATCAACGACGTTTTGCCCGCCAAAACCATCGTCGACAATATGGTAAACGACGCAGCTGCCCAGCTCCAGCGCGGGAACCAGTATCTCAGTTCCAAGGCAAAGCTTTGAGTAAGAACTCGAGAACAAAAGTTGAATCACGCTCGTTGAATGCATGTGTCAAGTCCTAGCCTAGTAATTTAGTCGTATTTATGGGGTTTATCAGCCTTTGCAATATATTCTGTGGAATTTTGTACCGTGTACAGACGCCGGACGGATTTGTGTGGGCGAGCTCCGAGTAGCCTGGGATGTATTCCTTCCAAATTCCGGGGTCCCTGTTGCTGCGTTCTCATACGGGCAAGAAATGTGATCATCCTGGTCTTTTGCTGGGAGCCTTTTTTGGCCCAAACAAGAGGCTTCTTTGCGGACGCTTTCTGTCAACCTATGTATATCGACGAGAGCTGCCAAGCCTGAGACCCCAAAGATATTTTGGTGCCGATCAAAATGCAGCACAACCAAACAACCGCTTCGCACTCGTGAAAGGAAATTTACTCTACACCTCCTGCTTTTCGGGTGCACTGATCCCGCTAGCACGACGGGTGCTGGATTCACTCAACTCTGCTCGGGGGCGCGATGGCTGAGTGGTTAAAGCGACAGATTCGAATTAAGCAATAGTTCCAAAAGTGCCATTCATCTGTTCCACTTTGTGGGCGTAGGTTCAAATCCTGCTCGCGTCGTGCGGCCGGAATGTTGTTGGTTTTTTGTCCCGCTCTGGAAAAGCCCGGAACTGCAGCATGTACAAACGCCCGAGAAAACTGATCTTTGATTTACACACAAAAACACCAAAAATGAGCGTGGAGACAGAAAAGATTGATATCATAGCGAGCGATTGTACTTTGGCACACCCAGCCTATCCCGAACTGTTTTGCCGTGGGACATGAAGAAAATGACAGGCAGAAGCGTGATGATGCCGACCAGCGACATCGTGACGGCCATCCAGTGGAACCCAATCTTGTCGCCCAAGGGACTGTAAAATGAAAAGATGGTTGAGCTCAGCAAAGACAAACAGATGAAATGACTTACATAGCCCAGAATCCAGCTATAAGGAGAACAATCGGTCAGACAACAGACTCTGCTTGAGTGAACAGCGAAACGTACTTGTCATTCCCACAGTTTGACGACCAAAGTTTAGAACTTGAGCGATTTCAGGTGTTTGCGGTCGGTAGCAATCGGCGTTATACGAGTATACAACGGTTGAGATAATCCTGGCGTATTTGATTGGTGTTTGTGCGCAGGAACTAAAATTGCGACTCACTGAATCGCGAAACACATGATGCTGAATCCCATCGTCGGCCCGATGTACGGGGCTGCGTTGAGGTGAGAATGCCATCAAACAAAACATTACGCTAGGAAGCTCACTCTTGTATTGAATGCAGAAACCCCAGATGAGTAATCCAATCTGTTTTGGTTCAGGTTCATTTCGATGTCCAAGGAGACGAAAGCTTACGGGTTGAATGACTGCACCGGCCCAAATGCCGTGGACTCTACACCGCATTCAATGTCAACTGCGAAGATGAACATGTAGCACGTACCTGACTTCCGGGACAATAACCCCGTCCTTTTTGCCCTTGCGACTGAGATACATGGATCGGTCAACGACGATTCCACCGAGAAGCTCGCCTAGGGTTGATCCGATGAGAGTGCCGATCCCGAGAGCGAGCCCGGTCTGCGAGGCGTTAAACTTGTACAGCCGACGGAAAAGTGTCGCGGATGTGACGGCCGGGAGGATGGAGCTGAGAGTAAATGTTACAGAGTAGTACAAAGCAGTCAAAAGGACAGTAGGATATTTGAACCTGCATCAGAGTCAGCTTGGTGAATGGCGAGAAAATAAACATCGACAGACATGATGAATTGCTGAAAGAAGTCAGAAAGTTTGAGGTGCTTTCCTTTCGGTCGCAGACCCCAAAGCTTCATTCTTCGCAGGATAGGTTTGTCCGTGACAACGGGCGTGGATCCACGAAGGTACAGAGTCTCGGGGAGACAGAAAAACATGACGCCGAACATCGTCATGTCGAGGATTGCCGGCAGATAGTAGCACCACCTCATGGCCTTCGTAAAGATCAGATAGAGGCTTGGATTATTCTGCTTACCTGTAGCTCACGAATTGCCCCAAGAATCCGCCTACGGGGGGTGTTAAAGGCCTTCCTTGAGTTATTCAGAGACACGCTGGCTGACCTGGAATTGGCGCAACGTGGGCCGAGTTAGTGAGGAAAACAGTGAATATCCCCATAGCACGGCCTCTGGTGCTCGTCCGTCAGAGAAATACGGGGAAAAAGAGGGAGGAGGTTACCTTTCATGGAGGAAGAAGGTATCAGAGACCATGCCAGCGCCGAGAGTGAAGAAAGATGAAGTGCCGAGACCGTTAAGAACCTGTTATCAACGTCAGAACCCGAGTTTGAATCTTGATTACAACCCGTACCCGAGTCGCAATTAGCTGAGACCAGGTATTCGCTTTTCCGGAGCCCAGCGATGATGCGGCGGCAATGAGAGTCGTGAAGAGAAGGAGCGGGCGACGGCCATAGGTATTTGCCAGCGGCACCCAGATGAAGGAACCAATGCCAGCGAAAGCTATGTCAGGAGATCAGTGACGCTTCAACCTAAAAGAAAGCTTAATGTTACCGATGGCAATGGTAGTTTGATAACTTGGGATGAGTTGAGAATTGAGATAACATCATAGTCGCACAGTGGAAGACACCGTGACTCACCTCGCCTCCACAGTCGATATATGAAAATGAGCCGCAAGAGGTACGAAGGCTAAAGAAAAGTTGAATAAAGAACCGAGTGTTGAACAACGTCTAGCTCACCGGGATTGACCGTGGCCTGGTTCAAAGGACCAAGAAGGGCAAGGAAACTGACTTGCAGCAAGATTGCGACCTGGCTGAAGTCAGCACAACTGTACTTGCGAATACGTTTGTATCGTCTACCTTCAACCACTGAGGAAAGTTGAGAGGATCAGAGGGATCATCGGAAGGCTGAGGTATGAGAGGGAGTCCGGTCGTGTCGAGCTTCAAATTTTGCCCGGACTGGCCAAGGTTGACATGCACGCCCTCTGTATAACTTGCTCAACGCGAATAGAAGAAAGTAAAAATGGATAGACCGACGCGATTCAGCATCTCCAGCATCGGAAACGTCCACTTTGTGGTCCTGCCCAGAGGATTTGTCGTCGATTTCGCCAACCTCTTTTGAGGACATTTTCAAAAGTGCTCTCGGGTGGAGGGAGAAGACAAAAGGGTAGGGCAAGAGGGAGTCCAAAAATAGTACATATACCTCGCATTTGTTGAACTCGAGAACCGGCAAATGACAGCTGCCGCACCCCAGTTGCCAAGCGAGCGAAGTTTGAAAGAAAAAATAAATGGAACTGATATATGAGGTTGATCGAGTCCGACCTTCGGCACGCGAGCAAAAAACCACTCAGATTGCGACTGGTAACTGCCGAAGAATTGAAGGGATTTCGGGTTCGAAGCACTTTATTAGCGATTCGACCACCTGCAAGTGCTGCAACCAAGTTCTGGGCTTCTGGCGTCGGCTCCGACTCGAGTCTCTGACAATGGCATGACCCAATGGCAACTGTTCGAAAAAAACGACGACTGGGATTGATTTATTTGGTGCTTCCTAGTACTAGTAGGCCACAGGACGTTCAGGGGTGGAGGAAAGACTTTAAGAAACCGAACGTGATCGTGTGACGCGTATGTCACGGTGACCCTCTTAGCCGGGCCGACCGGGCCTCCTGCAACAGCTCTTCTCTCCGTTCTCCCAGCTCGCTTTCGAGTGTGTTTCGCCCCTTTGCGCTGCTATCTGCACTTTCATATGGCGCCCTTGCAACTTTCACTTGCCTGCTGGGACTACGATCGCGTTAAAGCTCTGGAAGATGGACGTGTGAGACCTGAGGGAATTGAACTCAATTTCTTGAATCTCAGGTATAAGACCTCAATACACGCTCTTCCTGCTCCTCATACGTTTCTTTCTCGTCTTCTCAGAGTAGAAGAAACGTGGGTCACATCCGCTCTGCCGTATTCTGCATGGAAAATTCATTGCCCTTTAGTTTCTTCAGACAGCTCAAAAATCAGGAATTTGATGTCAGCGAACTTTCTCTCTCATCCTATGTTGTGAGCCTTTACCCGAAGAAGAAATCTGCGACCCTTCATCTTCTGATGCAGCTCACGTTGAATCACGAGGATCCTCCTTTCTACGCGCTTCCCGTGTTTCCGTCGCGATTTTTCCGCCACCAGTCCATTTACGTCAACACTAAAGCGGGGATCACACATCCTTCTCAGCTCTCCGGGCGTCGCGTTGGTACGCCTGAGTTTCAAATGACTGCACCCGTCTGGCAGCGCGGAATCCTTCAAGACGAATACGGACTGAACTATGATGCGCCGCATTATTTCACCGGTAATGTGGAACCTAGCAGTGTTGAACGCAAGGAGAAAATTGCTTTGAATCTCGGCGATAATGTCAAGATTCAATCTATCCCGCAAGGTAAGTGTTTAGCGCAGATGCTCGCCGATGGCGAAATCGACGCGTTAGAGAGCGCGTGAGTATCGTCCTCGTCTTACATACTCCCAGCTAATGTTGCAGGACCGCACCCTCCACTTTCGGAAAGCATCCTGATGTTGGACGACTTTTCCCAAACGCCATGCAAGTTGAACAAGGTACGCCTCGACCCATATCGTCGACTTCAATTCGACCATTATCAAGAATATTTTCGCCGTACTGGAATTTTTCCAATCATGGTAACTATAAGTTGTCTGCCTGCACTCCACATTCATGTTCACCGTTTCCAGCATGTGATCGTGGTGAAGCGGTCGGTGTTAGAAAAACACCCATGGGTCGCTCGTTCGCTTACGAAAGCCTTCGCCGCCGCTCTCGACTATGCCTATGCAGCCATCCATGAGCGTGGTGCATTGAGGTTAGTTCATATGCGATAATGCGTCTCCAGAACCCCCGAACCTCGCGAATTTCAGATACATTCTACCGTGGTTACAATTCCACGTTGAAGAAACACAAGCTGCTATGTGCAGTGACGGTGAAGAGAAGTGGTGGCAGGACGGCCTCACGTCTCAGAATCGGCGTACTCTGGATAAATTTCTCGAGTATTCCTTCAACCAGGTACCGTTCAGTCTTTCGTTCAGTTTGCAATTTACCCGCTCAATCATGTTTAAGGACCTAGCGAAGAAGAAATGGCATGTGGAGGAATTATTCGCACCCGGCAGTCTCGAAGGTTTCGTCGTATGAACGACAGATAAGCCAAGCCCGATTCAGAAATTGATCTAATACCACTGTACTCATCAAGGAATGCATTCCGTTACCTCCTGGTCTAAATATAACTCAGGTGTTCAAGGAAACCGAATCAAGCGATACCAGCCACCACGACTGGCGTAAGTGTCACGGGCACGCGAAAGCGAGAGTTTCGATGCAGGACATTCTCGCGCATTTCAACGCAATTTTCTGAAGTGCTCAAGGTATTCAGTTCGTGTAGTGTGCAATTCGATGTGATGAGATTTCTCCCGCAGCCCTGAATGGAACCGGCTGCAAAACTAGAACATCGCAACAAGAAAGGGGTTGACTTCTACAATATATTCGGCTGTCAGAGCCGACGTCGCGACTGGGATTCCAAATCCAGAACACAAGTCGGTGGCGAAGAAAACACTCTTCTCGACTGATGCGACTTGTCGGGCGG